AGGCTTCTGCGGCATTCTTGATGACCATACACCTCATTTCCCCTACCGTCCACAAGCTCCACCGAGTCCGCTAACTGGTCTATGATCGATTCAAGAAACATAAATCCGACATGTCAGGACTCGTTGGATCACGGAGGTAGGTATATGGGGAAACGGGGGAGCTGAGGTCCCACCAGATGTGTCTTCGTCATCTTTTGGTTGGTTCACGATTCTCCAGCTCTCTGCTTCTACCTTTGCGTAGATCAAGGTATCTTCTGGGGAAATTGATTTCCCGTTGAAGATTTTCTTGTTCCTTGCTTTCCAAATGAACCATAGGATCCAACAATATACATCCTTTTGAGGATCCGTCATGCCTAATTCTTTCGTTGTCCAAAAGAGAAAACTCATATTTTGATAAATAGAGGTACTCGGGAAGAGGCCCGGAAGGAACGGATAGTCCAATAACGCCCAGACTTGAAGTGCCGGAGGACATAAAAACAAAAGGTGATTTATAGATTCCTCGTGATCACCACATCGGGGTCAGCTTCTGTCAGCTCCCAAGTGTCGGTATGTTAAATTTCTGGCAGGTAGCCACATATCTTGATAATGCTTGCCACATGAAGTGTTTCATTTTTCCGGGTGAGCGGGTTTTCCACACCTGACTTTGCAGTACTGTAATGCTCGGTTCTCTTATTATTATGGGTTCCTATTGTAACTTTGTCCTTCTAATTAGGTCATAGCCCGTCTTAACCGAATAGAGTCTTGATTTGGAATGGTTCCATGGATATCTATCCAAGGTATGGTTACGACTAGGTCTCAACCCTAGGATGAGAGAGACATCCTCGGGTTGGAAGAAATTTCTCAGAAGAGAAACATCCCACTTCTTTGTATCTTGTCGGATAAAGGAGTAAACTAGTAATCCCAGATCCTGATAGCCGATCTGCGGGGTGGCTCTCGCCGGCCGAGCTCTAGTGTCCGGGATCCATGGTTTGCTCCAGACCCTTGTATTTAGACCCGACCTTATCGTCTTCCGTAATTCCATCATTAGGTATGGTTTTGCAGCTAAAATACTCTGCCACCCATAGGACAGAGAGTAGACTCTACGATCTTCCAACGGGTCAGATTGTCTATAGTATCATCCTCGTAAGACCCTAGCCAACAGAGATGAGGGGTATTGGATAAGACGCTATAGCTGTTTAGCTAGAAGGGCTAAGTTGAAATCATGTAGATCCCGAAACCCTCGACCTCCCATATCTTGGGGGATACAGATCTTGCCCTAGGCTATCCAGTGAATCCCTCTGTTATTCTGTTTCGAACTCCACCATAAATTAGCAATGGCACTCCGTAACTTGTCAGTCACTCCTTGGGGTAATAGGAAGCATGACATGACGTATGTAGGGACAGCTTGGGCGACCGATTTTATCTGAGTTTCTTTTCCACCTTTGGAAAGAAGTCTTGCAGACCAGGAATTTACTCGGTTACTCAGTCGATCATGGAAGTAGGAGAAAATTTTCTTTACTGATCCAAAAATTTGTTCTGGGAGGCCCAGGTACATGCCCATGCCACCCTCTGCCGAAATTCCAATGGCGTTCTTGATACCTAGCTTCAATGTTGGGTCAACTCGGTTCCATAACAAGATGGATGATTTGCCCAGATTAAGTTGTTGTCCCGAGGCTGAGCCATATGTGTTGATGATCCTGAAGATCTTGGTTCCTTGTTGGATGTCCGCTCGACAGAAGAACAAGCTATCATCAGCGAAACGTAGATGAGAAACTGGTGGGCTTGCTTGGGCAATTTTTAGCCCAGAAATTTGGTTTTCCCTTTCTGCTCCATTTAGAAGTGAGATAAGAGCCTTGGTGCATAGGATAAACAAGAAAGAAAAGAGGGGGTCTCCTTGTCTTAATCCTTGCGACGGAGTGATATGTCCTTTTGGTTCTCCGTTTATCAATACTTGGTAGGATACCGAAGAAATATAGAATATCAGAAGCTTGAACCATCTCTCAGAGAAGCCCAACTTAATCATTAGGGCTTTAATGAAGCTCCATTCCACTCTGTCGTATGCTTTGCTTATATCTGTCTTGATGGCCATAAAGGTTTCTCTGCACACCGAGTTAGTACTAAGTGAATGAAAATTTTCTTGTGCCAACAGAATATTGTCGGTGATCAACCTCCTAGCCATGATGGCCGATTGAGTCTCTGAGATTAGATAAGGTGGTGTCTTTTTAAGTCGTTTACACATAAGCTTTGAGATTATCTTATAGCTCACATTGCAAAGGCTAATCGGACTGAATTCCGTCATAGCTCTAGGCTTTTCTTTCTTGGGGATAAGATATATATTGGTCTGATTGAGTTTAGGATCAAAAGATCCTGATGTGAAGAAATCTTTAACTAATTTCACAATATCATGGCGGAAGTCCTGCCAGAACCTTTGGTAAAACTTGCTTGTCATTCCATCAGGTCTCGGAGCTTTGTCTGGGTTGATATCAAAGAGAGCTTCTTTAATTTCTGCTTCTGTGGGGTCTTTGAGGAGGATCTGGTTAGAAGACTCTATTACTTTCTCGGTGATAAACCAGAGTGCATTATCTGGGTCTGGGGGTTGTGACGAGGTGAACAAGTCTTGGAAGTAAGCTAATATTTCCACTTAGAGATACTCGTACGACAATTAGCTACTTTGCGATGGAAATCCCGATGAGGAATTCCATCTGAAGAGCTCCAGCCGGAGATTACCGCCTCTTTGAAACCTGGTTTTCCCAGCCATCTTTTATCAAATCAAAATGATTTCTTCCTCCTTCAATTATCCACTTGAATTCTGGCCATAACGGGTCGTGGTCTGAACCCCATAATCTAAGGTACTCCACCGAGGTATGGGGGAAAATAGATTGCCATTCTTCATTCCCAACAGCTCTATCGAGGCTATATTTGACTTTTCTGTAACGTCTTCTTCCGACCCATGAGAAAGAATTTCCTTTATACGGACATTCGAGCATCCCACAATTATCTAACATGGTTCAAAAAGGGATAAAAGAGTATTCCGGTCTCCTTCACCCTTCCTATTTCTCATGGTTTCCGTAGATTTTATTGAAATCCCCAATCATAAACCAGGCTTCTTTTCTAGAGATGCTCATCCGAGTGAGACGTTCCCATACATATTCTCAGTTTTTAATGACCGGATCTCCGTAAACGAATGTCAAAAAGATTTTATGTCCATCTAGACTAGTTTCAACATCAATAAGATGTTCATCCGAATAGGAGATAGTAACTGAAGTTTCATCCATATAAAAAGGACTAGACCGCCGCTATGACCTTTCGGTTCAACGGTACAAACATTGTCATAGCCAAAGTACATTTGCATATCTTGAATAAAAACCCGATTGTTTTTAGTTTCTGATAAAAATAAAAAAGCGAGGAGAAAAACAGTAGTGCAATTCTTCTAGATGATCCTTCGTTAGGTCGGCTCCCGCCCCCTGACAATTCCAGCCTATCACGTTCATGGATGACGTTTAGCCGGTTTCTGAGCTTCCTTCCCACCGGTTGCAAAAGCTTGTTTTTGTTTCTGGGCCTTGGAGCTCCTGTCTCCCTTGGGCTTTTCCTTCTGTTCTTCATTTGGGCCTGGGCTCGCTTTTGGGCCTTTTCCTTTCCCCTTAGACTTTGGAGAGACACAACCCAGAGGAAAATTTCTCTTCTTCAGCGACAAGCCACGAGCTGCCGGCGATCTCGGCGCTGGTTTCTTTTTTTCGGTCACTCGGGTTTTCTTCCCAGCTTCTGCCACCGGGTTCTCCCCAACATCAGTCTTTGCGGGACTTCTATACCAAGACGCAACCTGGAAATTTGGCGGATTCGCCACTGGCACAGCGGGGTCGTCGATCATCTCCTGATCTTCTTCCTTTTGATCGTTCTCAGGACTGTCCGCATCCTTAAGGAGCTCGTCCAGTTCCCCTTCATCAAATAGATCATCGTCATTCATCCTTTCATCTTCCTCATCGATGCCTTCAATTGTTTCATTGTCGATGAGCGTGGCTGGGTCCTCCATGAGCTCCTCCTCCATTAGATCGTCCTCCACGGCTTGATGATTGCTCATCAGATCTCCGCCTGTCTCCATGACCACTTCCATTGAAACATCGAGCAGCTCATCACTTTGTTCTGTCGCAATTAGGTTTGTATCTTCTATATCTTCTTCAAGAGTCTGCTAATACCAGTTTTCGTGTATACATGGTTCCAATGGAGGCAGGGTCATCACATTGTTGGGCATAGGCTGGCCAACAATGGAATTTGATTCATTTGGAATCTCAGGTTCAAAGGTGAGGGCCTTTTTCGCTGAGCTGCCAGATTTGGAAGATTCACCGATTTCAGCAATCTTCCCTTTACCCAGATTGGTTGCCTTGCTGATAAGGGAGAGATGGAAAGGTTGACTGCGCGTGTGGTCCGGGGAATAATATCCTTATTTAGCTTTGGCTGGAGGATCAGATATAGTTCTCTGAGAGTCAGAGGACTTAGCCAGACTTGCTGAGTATCTCGCCAATAGAGGTTTAGCGGAAGGAAGTTCTTTTCCAGATAGATCTTTCTACTAGTTCTTCCCCATTTGCTTCTTGCTTGTTGCGAAGGATTCTTCATACAATCTCTTGTGATATCCAGATTCAGTGTCTCTTGTGTCTTCTCTGATAATGGGATGAATTTCATCTGCAGGCTCTTGTCTTCTCTTATACCGCCTGGCTTCTGAGCGGTAACTCGAGTTAGTCTCAATTCGGTTCCAAACACTATCCGATCTTCTGTCAGCAGGATGTGTCTCTTCAGGTACCCAAGTCCCTCTTTTCTCCTTTTGAGGGTTAGAGCTTCCATCCTTAGGCTTCTGAGGGTTTTTGTGAATCTCCTCTTGCATCAGAGGTGGAGCAAGTCTTTCACGAAGGGGCAAAGAGATCTGACCCGCTTGTCTTCTTTGCTGCATGATATCTCTGTCTCGGATCAGGTCCTCTCTTGATGGTTGAACTAAGTTTCTCTCTGCCTCTCTTACTTTTTCCTCTTCTTTAATCCTCGGTAAGCAGAGGGCAGGATCTCTCATCATGAGATATGTGTCTGCAGGTTAGGCACCATCTGTCGAGTTTTTCGTACTTCATCTCGACCCGAACAACTTCACCGGACTGGAGACGAGCTCTTATCTTGAATCTCAGCGGTTCGTCTGCATTTAGCGAGATTTGAATCCGAGCAGCACGCGCATCCACTGCTTTCACATCGCCAAGCCGGTCTCCAATGGTACGGAAGTTCTCTTCCATCCAGAAGTGGGTCAGAATTCCAGAGATTCTTACCCAGAAGATCATGTTGTTTGGAAACGATTCCCCGACGTGAGCTATCCAGCATTCCAGAGAGAAGGACCATCGGTTAAAATGGCAGGAGCGCTTGCTGAGAACCCTCTGGAGATCAGCTTCCAAGTCGAAATCAAACTGAAACTGGGAGTTTCCAAGGTTTATCCTGTGCACTCTGCCCTCCACGTCCCATATGTTTTGACGAGGCATGAAGGCGATGAGGGCTTCTGTGCTTCTTATATCTTGGTTGAACATGCGTCTGACCAGACTCAAATTAAATCGAGCAATGAGCTGTGAGTTGTCAATGGGGGGTAAGTCGATGATCTCTTCCTCCTCTTCTTCATGGCCCTTAGTTGAGAGGTTTTTGTTCATCTCCATTGATGGATCTTTGAGGTTGCGTTAGTGTAGGTGGGAGTGAAAAAGTTTGGAATAATTCTGAGAGCGAAGAGGATGGAAAACTTAGCACATCTGCTAGATACTTAAAGTTGCTTTTGGGTAACAAAATACATCCACTAGGGGAGAAGTCTTCAGCTTGTTCGAGGTCTTTTTGCAGGATTGATTGAAAGAGGTCCTCAGTCTTGGGCCAAGGGCTTGAGCTTTTGCAGGTACAGAGTATGCTTGAAGCTATGATGTGGTCTGCGATGAGGGTGTTAAGTTTTACCCTAAATGAAATAATTAGCCGCAAATGCACAGCTGATTGATTGTAGTACTTAGAGATCGAATCCACAGGGAAGGAGGATCTTTCCTGCAAAAGCCTTCGAAAGAAATATAAAGTAAGGAAGTCTAGAACCAGACGATTTTTGTGAGGGTTTTGGTGGTGTCTTTAAAACGTAAAAACTAATCTTAACGAGAAACTGCAAGAATTAAAATAACCTAATAACTAAACTTAATGAAATCGACTAAAAACGAGAAAAACGACTAAACCTAATTGCTTGAATGAAAATCGATAGAATGAGTAAAAATACTAGACTAAAGCTTGAATGAAAATCAATGTAAATCTATAGAAAAGAGGCACTGGGTTTCAGGGAAATTTTCTCTATGAACGATTCAAAATATTGCTAGAGAGTAAATTTGATAAGATCTTAGCTTAAACTTTTCGAACTAGAGTCACATACGTATGAATACGCCACTGTCATAATCATAGAAAACTATCTCTCTCAACCCTGACCAGTAGGTTCCCACTCTGGCCTTGGAAGAGAAAAGATGCATTATGTTTAAGACTCGTTAGCATTCACAAATCACCCATAGGTAGGTTTCTACTCCTATGCTTGTTTTGCTCTTCCAAACTAGATCTGACACCGGATGAACACTTTCGTGTCACCAAGCATCTGGATCAGATTGTAGTTCATGACGCTACTCTCATGCAGTAAAAATAAATTCAGAAGAAAAAGTTCTAAGATTCGGCTTCAATAGCTCATGGAATCCTCATCGAACATATGTATCCCCATCGAAAATCCCTTAGACCCAACAATAAAACTAGTCAGACATGATGAACGAAATCAAAAACATAGTATTGAAAAGTAGGACAGAAATCGAAATTGAAAAAGAAAGAACAAGGGTTCAAGGGATAGATCTCTCTCTCTTCATAAAAGCTAAAGTATAAAAACAATAAGAAAACAAGATGGTGTAAAAGGTGATACGAATTAGGGTTCCTAAAATATGTATTTATAGTGCTCAAGACATCTCTGGGCGTCACTTAGGGTTTCTCCAAATGAGGGAATCATTTTGGGCTTCAGAAATGGGCCTTCGAGTTCGGAGTTGGCTGGCCGCGGTCAGGATGTGCGTGGCCGCGGGGGATGGATGGTTGGCAGCGGTCGGGAAGCTTCTGACCGTGGTGAAACGGCTGTTGGCCACAGGTGGAAATGATTGCCGGCTGGTTTACGGGACATCTTGCTCTTCGCGTATCTTTTGATTGAACCGTTGGATTTCCAAGCTGTAAAGTGTGCTGGAAAGATGATACTTTCATCTTTGAGATCTCCAAATTTGATCTGGATCAGACAGTGATAAGGCCTTCAATCGGGGGTGAACTTCTGACGGTTTGACTCTGAATTGAAAATCTGGTCTTCTATCCATTTTGTTAGGCTTTTCCCTAAGTTTCCTTAAAAGAGTCTTGGAACTACAAATACTATAAAAAAGGTAATAAAAGTACTTGAAAGCAATAAGAAACATAGAAAAAATATTTCAAAACGATCCATAAAAGTGGTCAAAATACGATGTTATCAAACTATACACGAAAATATTATTTCTGTTTTTAGCCATCTTTCTAAGTCTTAGCTAAGCCAGCTCAAGGGATAGCTTCTTTTTTTCAAGATACTTGACTTCAAACGCCGTGCTGAGAGCGACCTTTCACGAGTTTAGGTGGCAGGAGCTCAGCGGAGACCGGCTTAGGGCCGGCAGGATGGAGGGGAGCATTGCTAATTTGTATAAAAAAGGTAGATGGGAAAAAATAGATGCAGAATTCAAACATTTTGGGAAAGTATCGGGGAAGGTGCCTGAGAGAGATTTTTTTCCTTTTGGATTGAACAGTGTTGTGGATCAGACATAGTTATTTTTGCAAATACCCTGTTTGTCTTTGCTAGGAGACCTAATTTCTCTATAGTTTTTAATATGTGCATATCAAATTTTACAAACTGAAACATGTTTTTCACATATTTTGTGTATTTTTCATGTGATATTAAGTGGAATTATAAATTGATAGCACCTATTCAAATTTTTCTTATGAAATTTACTTTTCAAAGGTGTATTGTTTTTCAATTTTTTTTATTTTATCTCCCATAGTTGAAAGTTATGAAATAAACCGTAAATAACCGTACTCGAACCGAACCGAATTGCAAATGGATTTTATATGGTTTTAATATTTATAAAACCGAGAAACCAAAAAACCAAAAAAAAAAAAACCAAACCACGCCAAACCAAAATATATAGCTTTTATATGGTTTGAGTTTTTATAACACCGATAAACCGTAAAACCAAAAAAAACAAACCGGACCCAACCCAAAAACCGAATTTCCCACCCCTTCTAAACTGTAATTATAGGTTTACATGACCCACTTTGACTAAAGGACACGTTTTTAGAAGACAACCCAATGTGGAGACACACATGTGTAATTGTTTTGCAGTTAACAATTCTATTCGTATCTCTTCGGTGTGTGATATGAATAGTATACATAAATCAGTTACTTAACTATATAATATATCTCTTCTAAAATAATAAAATAAGATGAAGACCTGATCACATCCAACACTCCTCTTTGATCATGGTTTCATCGTTACGCCTAGCTCTTCTCGTAGAACCTCGAACCTTGTTGTGTTTAAGGGCTTTGTCAATATGTCTGCTATTTGTAGCTCTCCTGGAAAATACTCAAGTTTGATTTTCCCATTCTTTTCAGCCTCTCGTACGAAATGATATTTGATGTCGATATGCTTGGTCTGACTATGTTGAACTGGATTCTTTCCAGTTGCAATCGCTGATTTGTTATCATAGAAGATACTTACACTTTTCTCTGCCTTGAAACCAATCTCATTCACCAGCCTCTGTAACCACATTGCTTGGTTTGCTGCTGAGCAAACAGCAATGTATTCCGCCTCGATCGTTGATCGAGCAACCATCTTCTGCTTGCTAGAATTCCAACAAAATGCACCTGATCCAATCAAGACATAGCCACTTGTACTCTTCTTGTCCTCAACTGATCCGCCGCAATCACTATCAGAAAATTCCACCAACTCTGTTTCTTCTACTCGCTTGAAATGAATCCCATATGTCAAAGTACCCTTGACATATCTAAAGACCCGTTTGGCTTCTTGAAGATGTTGCTTTAATGGAGATGTCATGTAGCAAGACAAGTAAAAACTCGCTCGGATACATGATGTCTAGTCTAGAAGTCTGGGCTTAAAAACTAAACTCGTTGGCTCCGAACCGAACCGACCCAAAAATACGGGTTCGGGTCGGATTCGGGGTAAATGCAAAAACCGAATGGTTCTGATATTTATTTGATTCGGTTCTCGATTCGGGTTAGCGTAAACCCAAGAACCAAATGTAAACCCAAAAATAATAAAATAGAATCTGTTAATTAGTTGCATAAACCTACCCTTAAAAAATGAAAAATCATATACAAAACATATACTGAAAAAACATTCTATTTATTCTCTCAATTCTTTTTCCCTAATAATAAATCCCAAATTGGAAAAACTGGAAACCCTAATTCAATTTCACGATCACCACCACCATTCTCCTCATTCATCATCCTCGAGAGTTGATTCGTGGTAAGTGTTCCTTCTCTGATTCTTCTGTCTTGATTGTTTCTCGTTCATTTCACGATTTGAGTTTTATCTTTCATGTCTGGATTTGGGTTTTGGACCTTTCGGTTGATCTTAGAAAACTGAATGGAGTGATCAATTATCTAATTTTTACGGCAGATGGATTCTTTGTCTCCATCAAAGGATGATATTGCAGATAATGATCATGAAGCTACTCCTGCACAGAGAAGTAGAAACATAAGCAAGGAGAATCCAAGGAGTGAAACTAGCTCACCTTCGTCGAAGCCAAAAAAGAAATTTAAGGTCAGTAACACGAGGTCTTTAGTGTGGAAACACTTTACAAGAACTGAGGAGGATGTCAACACCTGCGTATATCATTATTGTGGTAAATCGATGTCCTGCAACATCAAGTGTGGAACTTCAAGCTTGAAGAAGCATCTGCAAATTTGCAAGGAGCACATTGTGTGAGAGGAAACTAAAAAAGAAGGCAGAATATAATAGTTTCTGAAGATGCAAGTGGTACTCTGCAGTTGTTCAAGGTTTCTGAAGCAGTGGTTAGAGAAGCATCGAAAGAGATGATTGTTTTGGCTGAATTGCCACTTTCATTTATTGAAATTCTGGCTTGGAGACATTTCTGCAATCGTGTGGGTCTTCCAAAGCCAAATTCAAGGAGAACAATCACCAGAGAAACTGTGGGGTTGTATGTAAAGAAGAAATCTGCTATGAGAAAGGTGCTTGGTGCAAACAAGCAAAGGGTGTCTTTGACAACTGATATTTGGGTTGCTCCCACAACCAGAGCTAGCTATATGGTCATCACAGCTTACTTCATTTATGTAAAGTGGAATCTAAGGAAGCTGATCATAGGGTTTAAGATCATCGACGATCACAAGGGAAATACAACTAGCAGAGTTTTGCTAGAGTGTTTGGCTGATTGGGGGATAGAGAAGGTCTTCACGATCACTTTTGACAATGCCACTGCCAACACCAGTGCACTGAGGAAGTTTAAGGAGGCTTTCAGCAGAACAGGTGAGCACTCATTGGTTCTAGGAGGTGACCACATGCATTTACGATGTGCTGCTCATATCATTAACTTGATAGTGACCGATGGGATTACATGAAGTTGGCAAAAGTGTATCTGCGATCTATAATGGTGTTCAGTATGTGAGATCTTCTACTAACATAATCAAGGCATTTGATCTAAGATTGGAATCAGCAAAAATGACAAGAGGCAGTTTACCTTTAGACTGTAAAACTAGGTGGAATTCAACTTACCTTATGATGACAGGGCTCTGAAGTTTAGGGTAGGTTTAGATAGAATGCAAGCAGAAGATATGCTCTACAATGCTTACTTTCAAGAACAAGTGGAAGGAAATAAGAGAGTTGGGCCAGCAACAAAGGATGATTGGGATTCGGTTGCAAGATTAGTAAGGTTTCTGATTATCTTTTACAACTCTACTTTAGTTGTTTCAGCATCTTTTTCACTGAATTCTTACAAGTGTTACAATGAGAATATTGTACTATCGAAACCAATTTGATAAAGCTGAGCAAGGATCAGGATCCAACAATGAGGACAAAGGTCGATGCAATGAGAGAGAAATTTGATAAATATTGGGATGGGTCAGAGATCAATAGGCTTCTAATCATTGTGAGTATCTTAGATCCGAGAAACAAAATGAGGTTTGCTACTCTTAGTTTTGACAGGATTTATGGAAAAGATAGTCCTAAATCAAGGGACTTGTCTGATTCTGTGACTACGGTTATGAAGAAGTTGTTTGAGGAGTATAGCAGCAAGCTATCTAGAGGTGAGACATCATCTAAATCTGCAGGTACTGAGTCTCAGCGTGGTAATTCAAGTCAAGATCATGCTACAGGTAATGTCCTTGACAAAATGAATTTAGATTTGAGAGTGGATATGAAAGAATGGATTTTGTCTACAAAGAGATGGTAGATGAGTTACAAACTGAAGATTCAGGTACGGAGTTGGATATATATTTGAAGGAGAAATGTGAAACTCAAAAAAAAAAATTCTTCGGTACAGATTATGATGTTTTGGGATGGTGGAAGTTGAACAGCTTCAAGTTTCCGGTTTTATCCGAGATGGCAAGGGATATGCTTGCAATGCAGGTGTCCTCTGTTGCTTCAGAGTCTGCTTTTAGCACAAGTGGTCGAATCATAGACTCGTTTGAAGTTGTTTAACCCACTACATGATTGAAGTGCACTGAGCAATGGCTGAAGTGTTAGATTCGTCTAGGAGAAAAAGGAGTGTCAGTTAAAAAGAGCTGCTTGCTGATATTGAATTGCAGGATAAACTTCAAAGAGGTATATTTCTGCTCCTTGAAATCTCCTCTCCGGATAGAGCTTTTAAGTTTCATGTTATAAGTTTTCTTTTCTCACTTCTCAGAAATGGAAACTTAGAGTCTCCAGAGTTCTTTGAATCTGAAGATGAAGACTGACGGTTAGTTATAAGTGATGAGGTAATGTTATGCTTACTTGATCGGTCATAAGTTTGGTAATAATTGGTTTTTGAATGGTTAGTGATTAGGCTGATTCGTTATGAATTTATGATTGTTTGTTGTCTTTAATTGTCATTGACTCATTGTGTTTGATTGTCTGACTTTTGTTGTTTTTCTTTGTCGTTGGTAAAGAGTCATTGTTTATCGTTGGGAAAGAGTCAAAGACATAGGTCAATAACTTTGTTTGTCTTTGTTCATTTGTTTGTATACAGGCAAGAAGATTTGGAAGTAGTTTGCAAGGATGGCCGAATGAGATAGTTTTTTGGATTCAGAACTGGAACTGATATTAAAATTCAACTTGGTGAACATGTCTTCTCATTATTATCCCCAACTTTGTCATAATTTCTTCTTATTTTGCACAATTTGGAAGTTTGGAATTAGGATTTGACCTTATGTATTATGTTTGTTTATTTTGAACTTTTTGGGTTTTCATGGTTTTTTCAGGTTATTCGGGTTCACATAGAACCGAAATTGAATCGAAACACTTTTTTTTGAATTTTTATGGTTATTCGGATTCAAAATTAACTGAAATCATTTTTTTTTTATCTATTCTAGGTTTATAAAAAAAAAACCGACCCGAACAAACTTTTTTGGGTTTTATTTGGTTCTTGGCCACTCTTAATTCGGTTATCTGAGAATCGAGAACCCGAATCGAATCCAAACCAAACCCGAACTGCCGATCCACCAGGATGAATAAATATATATAATATTTTTCTATCCTTATAATATGATATATATATAAACTATGTACCACCGGTTTAAATCACTGTATCATTTTAAATATCTATTCTGTTGACAACAAAAAAAGACATTCTTAACCATGAATGGATGGATGAAATAAATTTGAATATACTTTTTAGTTTCATTCTAAAATGATGAGATTTCCAATATCTTTTCCAAGAGTAATTTACTACTCAATATCTAGAATCATTAAGTATGTTCTGACTATTTGTTTTTCAAAATTAACATTTTGACAAATCTACATACCATTGATTGTATTTATGTATGTCAAAAACAAATACAATCAATGTATATTGTAGATATATTTAATTAGATATTAATTCGTTTTAAATAAAGAGCCTTTGTATTTATTAATACACCAAAATTATAATCAAAATTTTTTGGCACAGATTTGTTAAATTTTCTGTTGTATGACTTTTTTCGTATATAGAAAACCTATAATTTTAATCATATGATAACTTAAATTTTTTGACAGAAAAAAAAAAATCTATAAATCCAAGAAACAATAAGCATTTCAAAACACCGAACATTTAAGTCATGATCAATCAGATGAAGATGCATTTCGTACTCATAATTCTAACAGTGATAGTCACTGAAGATTTTCGTACTCAAGATGATGAGATCGATCAATTTTTGAAGAAACTCAATAAACCAGCTCTTAAATCTATCAAGGTTTGTTAAACAATCTTGATATTATGACACCTAATTACACTTTTTCATTTTATTTAGCTTCTAATTCTTAGTTACCTATGTTTTGTAATATTTGTGCAGAGTCCAGATGGAGATATAATAGATTGTGCTCATATGAAGAATCATCCTATTTATGATCATCCTTTATTCAAAAACCACACTATCCAGGTACACAAAGCAATTTTAATTTTTTATTTAGTTATCATTGTTAGTATATATTCTTTAGCATAAAGTTCTCGACTAAGTGTGGGTTATCATTTCTTATGTTTGATAGATTATTTTCTGCTCTAACATTTTTTTGTTGTAGATGAGACCAAGTTCATACCCAAAAGGATGGAACAATGAATCTTCAGACCTCGAAAAACAGAGTACAATAACTCAACTCTGGACAATTAATGGAAAATGCCCAAAAAACAGTATTCCAATCAGAAGAACAAAAAAAGAAGATATTTTACGAGCAGGATCAATCAAACAATACATGAAAAAGTATCCCAACGTCGTCCGTCAACCTAAGCCAGAAAATTCAACTAGTAACAACTACACACATGAGGTATATATATCATTGAATAAGCACTTGAAAAACAAAAATTTCTTCCATAATCATGTGTGTTCTTTTAGTGGTTTCTAATTATATGTATGTGAATGTACATATAGTACGCCACCGTTATTTTGAAAGGAAGGTTTCATGGAACAAAAGCGTTTATAAACGTGTGGAAACCTCACGTACAAACACCAAGGGAGTTTAGCCTAGCGCAATTATGGCTTTTGGGTGGCCCTAATGATGATGAACTTAATACCATTGAAGCTGGTTGGCATGTATTAGTTTGTTTCCCAGCTATATATATATATATATATTCTTATTCTCTTTACGTCGGCATCTATTGTTATTTATTAGGTGTACCCGAAACGTTATGGTGATGACAATCCTCGATACTTTATATATTGGACAGTGAGTTAATTTCTAAATCATTTTTATTTCCTTCACATATTTTGGATCATAATATGTACTGAAAAAAGTAACTTCTATGAATTTGTTTGCATTGCAATATGGAAATAGGCTGATGGGTACAGGGATTCAGGTTGCTACAATCTTGACTGCAAAGGCTTTGTTCATACCAATCAAGAATTTGCTTTAGGTGCGTCATGTAGTCAAGTTTCTAGTTTGGATGGTCAACAACATGAGTTTCCCATAACCATATGGAAGGTTAATATACTCCATACTAATTTTCAGCATACTGTTTAAACAAACAATAATATGCTATATTATTATAGGACCCAGGTTCAGGGAACTGGTGGTTAAGATCTGGTACTCATTTAATAATTGGATATTGGCCTTCTTCACTGTTCAACCATCTACAAGTCGGTGCGAATGAAGTTCATTGGGGAGGCGAAATAATCAATTTTAATGATGATTCACAACACACGACAACGAAAATGGGGAGTGGACAATTTGCACAAGAGGGATTGAAAAAGGCTAGTTATTTCAGAAATCTTGAGATAATTAATGAGGATGACATTAGTGCACCACCTCTAGGAGAATCTTATATTCAGATAACACAAGAAAATTGTTACAATGTCAAGTCTGATTATGAAAGTTCATGGGGATATTTCTTTTATTATGGTGGTCCGGGTCGAAATCCTAATTGTATATGATTGTATATCAATGTCATATATGACTCATCTATTCGATTTACCACCATCAATATTAGTATAATATTTATATCGTTATGCAAATAAATTTAAGCAAATCATAATGAAATTGTATAAAAATATTACTATCAGTTCACGTAGACAGTATGTTACACATTTGAAGGAAACTCAACTCAGAACAATTGAACATCTTTCTTAATCTCGAGCTCTTTTTATCTATTTGAACTAGGTGGTTTGCCCGCGCCCTACGCGGGCCGAGGGATTTCAAAACTTTGTCGAATTGATTATGTGGTATTAAAATCATAGGGAATACTTTTTTTTTTTTTAAATGTATAATTCATTGTCAAAGACTCTCTGATCATGGTCATAGAGTTTCTGATCAACAGATATTGCAATATATCTGATCTTTTTCAACAATCTTCGTAATCGTATAGGTAAATGTGTAGTTTGAAGTTGCTTCGCTTGTAAATGTTTAATTTGATGAGAATAATGCCTATACTTTACAGAAAAAACCACATGATTTATAAGAAACTGTAAAAGAGAGCAAATAATTGAAAAAAAATCATAAGAGCACCTAAAAAGCAACTATTATTCAAAAATCTAAAAAACAAATATTATTTCGTAAACTAAATAAAATATAAACAACCATTTGAGACATACATGATAAAAATAAAGTAAACTCAAAAAAGTAAACACGATCCAAAATTAAAGACCCAAAATGCAATAGTAAATTAGTGTATGAAATTCAGAAACAAACTGAACTAAAACAAACATGAGTTTCACATAATCATTTTGCATCTTCTTTTTTTTCCTCTTATTTACTTTTTGGGTTTTCTTCTTTGTCGTATTTTCTTTAATTTTTTTCGTTTTTCTTCTACTTTTTTTTCTCCTTCTTCTCTCATGTCTTCTTCTTCGTTTTCTTTCATTTTTTATTTATTCTTCAAGTTTTTCTTCTTCCTTCTCCTCTTTATTCTCTTGCTTTTTATTTTTCAGGTTTTTCTTCGTATTTTCCATATCTTCTCCTCATCATTTTCCTCTTCTACTTCATCGCCTTCGTCTTCTTCGTTCTCTAAGATTTCATATTCTTCTGGTTTACCTTACTCTTTTATATCAATCAAATACATGTACCTAAAAACTTGAACTATTTGTTTCTTCCTATGTCCCTCCCTATCATTCTCTCTCTTTCCCTCTATCTCTTTCAATCTTTCTCTCTAACTATCTCTCTTACTCCCTTGTCCTAAATTGTATATATCATACATTTTAAAGTACAAAGTGTTT